AGGGGATTTTGAATTTAACTAAATTAACTAAAATCCTAATAAAGCAAATAATATCTGAACAATGACAATAAAAATAAAAATAAATAAATGAAGAGAACTTTCTATTTCACGGTTCCGTCTTCACCCTCGACCGACTCGTCTAATCAATTTTTGGTATCAAATCTCGCTATCTTATGGAATTACTGGCCCTAGGCAACGACACAGTCTGTTACCCGAATTTTTCCTTAATTTTAATTTAATCGCGAGACGCTCTACGATTACACCTGACTTCTTGTATAGTCCAGAAAAATGTTTTCAAGATTTAATACAATTAGCCGCTTTTACGAATTAGAAAAATAGGCAAGACTAAGTAGTGAACTCAATCGCATTCGTTCACTTAAATAGGCCCTGTTATCCATGGTAGTTACCGTCTTCCGGTAGCCTCTAATGAATTAAACACAACAACAATTACGGATTGAAGGTCTAATTCAGCTGTAGATATGAAAAGCCTAATCTAGGTGATCAATCTAAATAAGACTCAGCACATCATGGTTAATTATTCAAATAACACAACTGTGGAGCTTTTATTGGGATAAGGCCTTCCAGTTTAAGCTTTAAACAATTCCAAAAAGATATTGAAACCATCAACCATATAAATCAATCAAAACATCGTCAATAGTAAGGTTCGACTTCCCCGAAACTAGAAATAAAAACTACTCTAACATAATAAATTAAAAGAAAAATAGATAAAGGAGAGAGATTAATTATCTCCCTTCGTCTCGCTCGTCCTCTGTCTTGCGTAAAATAATTTCCCTGCTCTGTTGCGGCTCTCGCTAAAGAAAATAAAATCCCTGGCTTGCGTATATATGTATCCTTCTCTTTTTAATACGTGTGAGTGGCTTTTTATTTCCTCCCAATAAATCCTATGAGTGTTGCCGTCCTTTTTCAATTGCTGTCGTTTCTTCAAATTAATTCCCTCTTCCAAGCAAATAAATGCCTTATAACTTAACCTCATTGGGCCTAACTGAAATGGGCCCAATATGTTGATTTTAAATCTCTCTCGTCTTGTTGCCGTGAGTGATCTCTCAATTATAGGGTTAATTGCACCAAACCCCCCTGTATTATACTAAATCTACGTGTTATCCCCCTCTATTGTAAAAATTGCGTCAAACCCCCTTGTATTGTACTTTTCCCAGCATACGCTCCCCAACTTACGTCTGGGTGCTAACACCGTTACATTTTTGTCAAACATCCCGTTATGCCCTTGTCATTTGAGAAGTCGTACCCATTTTGAAGCAAAAATATTCCAGCTTTGAAATCGTTCTCTCTCTCTCTCTTCTGTCTCTCTCTCCCCGAAAAAATCCCAAATTTCTTCACCATGATTGTCCAAAATTTTGCTGATTTCCAACTATTAATTTGTAAAAGTATCGATGGCGCATAACAGATCTGTTATTTATCTTCAATGTTGAAGCCGATTGAGGAGTATATTTCGATATTCCAAAGCTAGTTTCCTCTTTGCAGCGAAATTATTACTTCTCGAAGACATATATCGGTGGCGCATAAGGTACTTTTCAAATCCTCGACGATTAAAGCTTATTACATCAAAAGCCGATAGTTGCATTCCTGAAATTAGGGTTCTTATGCTATGTGTTTTCGAGAATAAGATTTTCGGTCAAGTGAAGTGTCGTGTTTCTGATTTTAAAATTGGGGAAAGTCGATTGCTTCATATGGGAAATTCTGAAAAGTTGATATCTTCTGATTTGAAAATTAGGGTTTTTCGATTTCAAAATTAGGGTTTTTTGATTTGAAAATTAGGGTTTTCTAATTTAGAAATTAGGGAGTTTCGATAGCTTCATTTTGAAAGTAGAGAAAGTCGATATCTTCTGATTTAAAGATTAGGGTTTTGCGATTTGAAAATTAGGGTTTTTCGATTTGAAATTTAGGGTTTTTTGATTTGAAATTTAGAGTTTCCTAATTTGAAAATTAAGGAGTTTCGATAGCTTCATTTTGAAATTAGAGAAAGTCGATAGCTTCTGATTTGGATGTTAGGGTTGTTAGTCAATTTCATGCTATTCATTTTTAAATTAGGGCTTTCTGATTTGGGAATTGGGGTTATTTTTTTTATATTGTCTGTAGGCTTTCTGTAGCTTCTGATTTGGAAGTTAGGGTTGTGTGATGTGTCTTTGTTCTTTGTTTAATGTAAAAGTTATTGATGCTGTTTGTAGGGTCCTTTTGTGATATGGTATTGGTTGTTTGTTTAATTGTGGTCCCTGAGTTCATATTTTTATCATATCATACTTGTTGATTTGCAGAATATGGCTATTGTATTTGATGTTAGAGTTGGTGGGGAGATAAAATATCATCCATTTGCGCACTACTTTGGTGGTCTAAGAGTTGCAGTTGACTACTATGATGTGGACAGGTTGTCCATGTTTGAGCTGATGGATGTGTACAGGCAGGCAGGTGGCAAATCATCCGTTGTGGAAATTTATTCACACAAGCCTGGAAAAACTCTACAAACAACAAAGAAGTTCATGAAGATTGCCAGTGACAGTGATATTTTGAAGTTGGTGAAGAAGTATACAGGGGAATATGTCATCCCACTTGATGGGTCTACTTCCAGATCTGGAGTAAACCGGTTGTTGTGAGCTCCGATCTGTTTGAACCGCCTTCAAATCGTTGCTAGACCGCCGCAAACACCTGCAAGAACCCTATGTCGGGAGAGGTCCCGGCGTCGGGCCTCCGACGCTCAAGTCAGTAAATAGAGGAGAGGAAGATGAAGCTCTGTAATGTAGAGCTGTAATGCATGTAGAAATGCATAGAATGTGGGGGAGAAAGCTGCTCTTAGAGAGCAGCAGCAGCAGAGAGATGGAAAGTGTGTAGAATGAGTAGAGGTTAGGGTTTAGGGTTACCTCATTCCCTTTATATAGAGGGAACTACTTGCTTGAAGTACCCAAAATGCCCCGGTCGGTTTACCTGAAGTGTCCAAAATGCCCTGGTAGGTTGCATTCCATCTACCTCCTAGTCAGCTCAAGATTCCTTCTTATTCAATTATTGCCTCTCTCTTATAGTCACAGAGAAGTCTAGTAGCGGAGACCTCTAGTCACGGAGACGTCTAGTAGCGGAGAGGTCTAGTAGCGGAGACCTCTAGTCACAGAGACGTCTAGTAGAGAAGACATCTAGTAGCGGAGACCTCTAGTCACAGAGACGTCTAGTAGAGAAGACGTCTAGTAGCGGAGAGGTCTAGTAGCGGAGACCTCTAGTAACAGAGACGTCTAGTAGCGGAGATGAGCTCTAGCTCCTCTTGTCTAGTCGAGACGAGATGATCTCTAGTAGGTCGAGACGATATGACCTCTCGCAAGTCTAGCAGGTCGAGACGAGTCTAGCAAGTCGAGATGACCTCTGGCAAGTCTAGCAGGTCGAGATGAGTCTAGCAAGTCGAGATGACCTCTAGAAGGTCTAGCAGGTCGAGATGACCTCTGGCAAGTCTAGCAGGTAGAGATGAGTCTAGCAAGTCGAGATGACCTCTAGCAGGTCTAGCAGGTCGAGATGAGTCTAGCGGGTCGGGGTGACCTCTACTTATCTTCTTAGAGCAGCTCGACCTTCTCATACTCAGTCACAGAGAGCATGTCTACTTCTCATACTTAGTCGTGTGAAGCTTGTCATACTCAGTCACAGAGAGCATGTCTACTTCTCATACTTAGTCGTGTGGAGCTTCTCATACTCAGTTACAGAGAGCATGTCTATTTCTCATACTTAGTCGTGTGGAGCTTCTCATACTTAGTCACAGAGAGCATGTCTACTTCCCATACTTAGTTGTGTGGAGCTTCTCATACTCAGTCACAGAGAGCATGTCTACTTCCGATACTTAGTCATGTGGAGCTTCTCATACTCAGTCACAGAGAGCATGTCTACTTCCATACTTAGTCGTGTGGAGCTTCTCATACTCAGTCACCGAAAGCATGTCTACTTCCCATACTTAGTCATGTGGAGCTTCTCATACTCGGTCACCGAGACCTTCAAGTCTCGTCTAGACCTCCTCAGGCTGCTCTTCCTCGGTTTCGCTCGGACCTCTTCATACTTGACTCCGGTTCACAAGTATGGCTATATCATCTAGTCCCCCCCAAAACTTACTTTACAGCGACTCAAGCTGTAGAGTAAGGCCAATAGTCTGGGAATTCTAGCATTAATCAGAGTTTGCAGTATTTGAATGGACGTCTTCGTCCCCTCGTAATCCTGTGTATTTTTTATTCGTAGGTTTTTCTGACTCGATGGCTCGAAATTGCCAGGCTTTAGCATGTATCTTGTTTCCACGTGTAGGATTAGTCAAAATTATTAGTTTCCATGGGCCCAACTCATTAGGCCCAACTCAAATGCTCAACACCTCTTTTCTTTCTCCTCTTCTTCACAATTAGTCTTTCTCATTATGTCGAGTTCTTTGAGAATCGTCTCTAAGTTCACACCGGTTCTTCCCCCGATTTCCTTCTCGACTTGCGATTTTACAGGTTTTCCAATTTCGCTTTCCTCCCCTCGCGATTCTCTTCTCGCGATTTTATTTCTCGCAATTTCTCTCAAATTTATGATGCACTTTTTGGCACGTTAGTCAACCTGGGTAGATCTATTCTTCACTCGCAATTTCTCTAGTTCTCGATCTCGCAATTTCAGTCACGAATTTTTTCCAGCTCGCGCTTGCGATTTCACTCACGGACTTCTTGTCGACTCGTGATTGCGATTTTTCCCTGATTCTCATTGCACAATTCGAGATTCGTTACTGCTCGTGATTTTCTCCCAATTCGCGATGGGTTAGTCGCGATTTCTTGGTCGCGGTTGCTTCACGATGCCTTGGTCGCGATTTGCTATTGCTCGTCATCTTCCCAAGTCGAGGTTTACTTGCTCGCTGTCCAGGAGCCGCGATTTTCTATTGCTCGTCATTTTTATTCTTCCTTAATTTTTGTCGGGCAAGCCGAGATCCACTATGGTCGTCATTTTTCCCTAATTCTCGATGTCTTGATGTGCCTTTTATGCCTAGTCGCATTTTTCCACCGAGGTGCATCAAGATCTCGATTCAATCGATTTGCGATTTCCTCAATTTGCGAGGTGTTGGTCGCGATTTGTCAGTTGGGGGCCTTGGGGCTGCTGCCAGACTCATGATTGTTCTATTCACGTTTTCTCCTGATTTGAGATGTACTCATCGCGATGTGCTGGCTGCGAGTGTGTTCTCTTGGCCATGGGTTTGTCGCTATTTTCCACATTCCTGAGAGGTAAGTCGTCTCTGATGTGATGCTAGTCGAGTTCTGTTAATCGTGAGGCATCAAACATGACGTGCGTTAGTCGCGATTTCCCCAGATCTCTGAAAGGTTGGTTGCTTTTTTGGTTTTCCTGTATTCCACTCTTCTGATCATATTTTTTCTTGATTTGTGTTGCTGGTTGCGATGTGTTAATAGCGAAGTGTTAATCGCATTTGTAATGTTCGTTTTCTTGTGAATCTTACACGAATTGATGTGCCAGTCACATCTTTCTTTAACTCATTTCTTTTCTGCTCGTGTTTTTCTGATTTGTGATGTACTAGTTGCGACGAATTAGTCGCGGTGTGAATTGCTCATTTGTTTCCTGATACTCCTGCTAGCTGTGATTTTCCTTTGCGACGTGAGGGCTTCTCTTTCTCTTTGCGATATATACTATCGCCTTTTGTGTTCATTAGGTTGTTTCATGCTTCTGCTTGCGAGTATGTTAACCATGATTTCTTCTTTTCATTGCTGTGTTTATTGATGTGACAGGAGTTTGGTTTGAATAACCATGGGTCGCGACAGATAAGTCACGGTATATTTAGCCTGTTAGCTGGTTCTCTGCTTGCGATATATTATTTTGCTGGCATATGTCTATTTGCATTATGTTGATCTGCTCCCTTCAATTATGTGTTCAAGTCGTTCTTCAATTCTCTGTGATTGATTCATGTTCTTGACTGGCTGTATCTGATCCTGTTTAGTTTATGCATCTGCTCGCAGCTATAATAGTGATGGCTCACAATGCATTTTGCCATACTGCTCAAGGCTTTGATATCAACTCGCAGCTCACATTTCGTAGCACGCAACTCATGCCAACTTGCAATTCGCAACTCGCAGTCGTAGCTCATTCCTACCTTCCCCCGTTGACTCATTGCTCACCGAGGCTTACTTTTGGGAGTGATTTCAGTAGTTTGATTATTTTTGAAGTCATGTAGGGTTTAAATGACCGTATAAACAATTCATGTATGATTGTTGTTGCTCTTTACTAAGGTCGCGAAGACCATAATATTTTTACTCTTCTTTTTGCTGGAGGTTGCGATCACCCATATGTATTTGTACTTGCATTATGCTCTCTGATTATTTGTGATGTGTTGGTAGCTTGTTCTTGTTAGATATCTTCAACAGAGTTGTTAGGTCGTGAAGACCATCTATTTTATCATGTAGTCGCCATGACCATTAAGTTGTGCTGACTACTTTGTTAGGTCGAGATGACCTCTAGCACCTCCATTGTCAAGTCGAGACGAGCTCTTGCTCCTCTTTTGTTAGGTCGAGATGACCTTCTAGCTCCTCCTCTGTCACGTCTAGATGAGCTCTTGCTCCTCTATTGTTAAGTCGAGACGACCTCTAGTAAGTCTAGCAGGTCGAGATGACCTTCTAGCTCCTCCTCTGTCACGTCGAGACGACCTCTAGTAGGTCGAGATGAGCTTCTAGCTCATGTTAGTTCCCTTTTGTGAATCAATTCTCCCATTCTGCTTTTTATCCTTAATACTATCCTCGCCCAACCCAGCTTGAGAATTGTTCAAAGTTGGAATCAGCGAGCAACTCTAGGCAACGTAGAGCAGTTTAACATAGAAAAATTTCAATTCACGACCTCGCCCAACCCAGCTTGCGAGCTGTTCAAAGTTGGAATCAACGAGCAACTCTAGGCAGCTTAGAGCAGTTTAACTTAGAAAAATTTTCAATTCACGACTTCGCCCAACCCAGCTTGCGAGCTGTTTCAAAGTTGGAGACCACTCAGCTCTTCAAATGCCTTAATCATGGTGGATTTTGATTTCAAACACTTGCTCAACCCAAGTCTAGGATTGTTCAAAACAAGTGACCACCCAGCTTTTCAAAAGCTTTAATCATGGTGGGTTTTGATTTTAAACACTTGCCCAACCCGAGTCTAGGATTGTTCAAAACAAGTGACCACCCAGCTCTTCAAAAGCCTTAATCATGGTGGATTTTGATTTCAAACACTTGCTCAACCCAAGTCTAGGATTGTTCAAAACAAGTGACCACCCAACTTTTCAAAAGCCTTAATCATGGTGGGTTTCAATTTCAAACACTTGCCCAACCCAAGTCTAGGATTGTTCAAAACAAGTGACCACCCAGCTTTTCAAAAGCCTTAGTCATGGTGGAGTTTTGATTTCAAACACTTGCTCAACCCAAGTCTAGGATTGTTCAAAACAAGTGACCACCCAGCTTTTCAAAAGCCTTTATCATGGTGGATTTGAGATGATCGACTTCGTAGTCGTCTTCAACTTCGTAGCTGTTTTAGAAACTTAAGTCAATTCTCTCTTGTAGACTTAGACTCCTTTGGATTTAGAGCTAGGCCTCTCTAGCCATGATTGCATATAAGTCTCATTTAGTTGTATATAAGTCGCGAAAGTCGCTCTTCCACCTAACTGCAGGTCTCTATGTCGTCCATAGTGATCTCAACTCGTCATGAGTGCCTCTAGATCGTCCAGAGTGGTTCCAACTCGTCATGAGTGCCTCTAGATCGTCCAGAGTGATCTCAACTTGTCATGAGTGCCTCTAGATCGTCCAGAGTGATTCCAACTTGTCATAAGTGCCTCCAAATCATCCAGAGTGATCCCAACTCGTCATGAGTGTCTCTAGGTAGTCCAGAATGACCCCAACTCGTCATGAGTGTCTCTAGGTAGTCCAGAATGACCTCAACTCGTCATGAGTGTCACCAGGTAGTCCAGAATGACCCCAACTCGTCATGAGTGTCCCTAGGTAGTCCAGAATGATCCCAACTCGTCATGAGTGTCACCAGGTAGTCCAGAATGACCCCAACTCGTCATGGGTATCTCTAATTACTGATTTCTCCATATTTCTTTGACCTTCACCAAGTGCAAATAACTGGCTCTTCCCTCCAGGGGTGAAGGTAGCTCCTCTTCCATATGCGCTCATGACGGCGCGTGAGAATCAAACAGTAGCAACCCCTTTACAGAGATAAAAAAACTCAAGGTTGAGAACCACTAGTGGTTTCCTTCCTTTTCATATCCCCCACAACTCCTCACTCAAATTCCTCTACACACTTCCCTTCTCAACCATCTCAGACAGATCAGAACTAGGTGCAAAGCTCTTAGTTCCTTCAAGAACTCCCTACAGACGGCGCCAAATGATGGGTCTACTTCTAGATCTGGAGTAAACCGGTTGTTGTGAGCTCCGATCTGTTTGAACAGCCTTTAAATTGTTGTTAGACCGCCGCAAACACCTGCAAGAACCCCACGCCGGGAGAGGTCCCGGCGTCGGGCCTCCGACGCTCAAGTCAGTAAATAGAGGAGAGGAAGATGAAGCTCTGTAATGTAGAGCTGTAATGCATGTAGAAATGCATAGAATGTGGGGGAGAAAGCTGCTCTTAGAGAGCAGCAGCAGCAGAGAGATGGAAAGTGTGTAGAATGAGTAGAGGTTAGGGTTTAGGGTTACCTCATTCCCTTTATATAGAGGGAACTACTTGCTTGAAGTACCCAAAATGCCCCGGTCGGTTTACCTGAAGTGTCCAAAATGTCCTGGTAGGTTGCATTCCATCTACCTCCTAGTCAGCTCAAGATTCCTTCTTATTCAATTATTGCCTCTCTCTTATAGTCACAGAGAAGTCTAGTAGCGGAGACCTCTAGTCACGGAGACGTCTAGTAGCGGAGAGGTCTAGTAGCGGAGACCTCTAGTCACGGAGACGTCTAGTAGAGAAGACATCTAGTAGCGGAGGCCTCTAGTCACAGAGACGTCTAGTAGAGAAAACGTCTAGTAGCGGAGAGGTCTAGTAGCGGAGACCTCTAGTAACAGAGACGTCTAGTAGCGGAGATGAGCTCTAGCTCCTCTTATCCAGTCGAGACGAGATGATCTCTAGTAGGTCGAGACGATATGACCTCTCGCAAGTCTAGTACGTCGAGACGAGTCTAGCAAGTCGAGATGACCTCTGGCAAGTCTAGCAGGTCGAGATGAGTCTAGCAAGTCGAGATGACCTCTAGAAGGTCTAGCAGGTCGAGATGACATCTGGCAAGTCTAGCAGGTCGAGATGAGTCTAGCAAGTCGAGATGACCTCTAGCAGGTCTAGCAGGTCGAGATGACCTCTAGCAAGTCTAGCAGGTAGAGATGAGTCTAGCAAGTCGAGATGACCTATAGCAGGTCGAGATGAGTCTAGCGGGTGGGGGTGACCTCTACTTATCTTCTTAGACCAGCTCGACCTTCTCATACTCAGTCACAGAGAGCATGTCTATTTCTCATACTTAGTCGTGTGAAGCTTGTCATACTCAGTCACAGAGAGCATGTCTACTTCTCATACTTAGTCGTGTGGAGCTTCTCATACTCAAACGACCCGCTCTCGCCGCGTGAGCAGCTCGAGCAGTTCGCCGACAGCTGACGGGTTCGGGGCTGGGACCCCCGCGCCCAGCCCTCAGAGCCAATCCTTTTCTCAAGGTTACGGATCCATTTTGTCGACTTCCCTTGCCTACATTGTTCCATCGACCAGAGGCTGTTCACCTTGGAGACCTGATGCGGTTATGAGTACGACCGGGCGCGGACGGCACACGGTCCTCCGGATTTTCAAGGGCTGCCGGGGGCGCACCGGACACCACGGGACGTGCGGTGCTCTTCCAGCCGCTGGACCCTACTATTTCTCATACTTAGTCGTGTGGAGCTTCTCATACTTAGTCACAGAGAGCATGTCTACTTCCCATACTTAGTTGTGTGGAGCTTCTCATACTCAGTCACAGAGATCATGTCTACTTCCGATACTTAGTCATGTGGATCTTCTCATACTCAGTCACAGAGAGCATGTCTACTTCCATACTTCGTGTGGAGCTTCTCATACTCAGTCACCGAGAGCATGTCTACTTCCCATACTTAGTCATGTGGAGCTTCTCATACTCGGTCACCGAGACCTTCAAGTCTCGTCTAGACCTCCTCAGGCTGCTCTTCCTCGGTTTCGCTCAGACCTCTTCATACTTGACTCCGGTTCACAAGTATGGCTATATCACCACTATACTTTGAAGATTTGCTAGGCCCTATACAACAATTGAACATTGAGGGGAATCTGATGGATGCACAAGAACATATCCCACTTCTTGAATATCCACAGACTGAAGAGGATATTCTAATTGACATGTATTGTGATCCAAAAACATCACCACAACAGAGTGATAAAGAAGCACAAGAAGAGGATGATTTGCAATCAGTTGAAGAAGAACAAGATGCTGTTGGTGAGGTGGATCCTACAGAAGATGGTGATGGTGATGATGTTGGTCCTCAAGAGGTGGATTCTACAGAAGAGAGACATGATGCTAGTTCACATGATGGTACTGGTCAAAGAGATGAGCCATTTAATGAAGCTGAAGCACAGCATGGTGAAGATAGATCTCAAACAGTTGGCCAAGAGTATGAACAACAAGCTGAGGGGGCAGACTAACAAGCTAAGGGGGCAGAACAACAAGATGAGGGGGCAGAACATCATTTTGGAGATTCAGAGGATTCAGAGTATGAACCTGAAGAAGGTAATGGTGAGTCCTCTGAATTATTTGAATGGGAATTGGAAGATCTAGAAGGCTCTGATGATGATGACATATTCCAACAGAGGGGTCATGATCATGCTAAGAAGTTACACAAGAGGGCAAGAGAATGGAGAAACAAAGAAGAAAGCAGAAAAAAAAAAAGCAAGAGAAGAAGCTGAAGGTTTCAAAAGGGCTAGAGAAGAAGATTGGTATAGTGAGGCTGAGGATGATGACAACTGCTTTGAAGAGCCTGATGAATGGAATGATAGTACTGATATGTCAAGGTTTGAGCTGAAAGTTGGTCAGAAATTCCCATGCAGAGCAAAATTCAAGGATGTGATTAGAGATTGGTCTGTTAGAAAAGGCTATGATTTGAAGTTTCCCAAGAATGAAGCCATGCTCATCACAGAACAATGCAAAAGTTGGTGTGAC